AGGGTCGGTGGGCGCACATGCCCCTCACATTCTCCTTCCTTTAAGAAGGCCGCCGAAGGGCAGAGACAAACAGGGGAATAATTCTTTTATTATTCATCCTCCAAGAAAGCCATTAAAGCCTGGTCTACGTCCGTGCCCTCCGGCCTGCTAGTCTCTGCCATGGGCACCGCCGGAGCCCCCCTCCGATGTCTCTGCAGCTCCCAAGGACACCACGGCCACCTGTGGCGTCGATGTGGTCACCGCCTGTGCCCCTCTTCGTGTCGCAGCTTCCTCCGAGGTAACCATTACCAGCAGCCCCCCAGGCAGACTCGCACTGGCCGCATAGCCTGAGGTTATTTTCAGGAGCCACTGCGCGATATCTGCCTCCCGGGCTGCCCGTGCCTGCATAGCCCTAGCCACATCGCTAGGGTGCTCTTGGGATGACTTACGGCTGGATAACTGGGTTTTTTCGGTGCGGCACCGTTGCAAGAGAGAGTGTCCGGCCATTGAATAGTGTGCGCTGGCTGTGGGGTGCCCCATCCCTTCTCAAGAAAGAGGCTGCATTGACTCGTTTCTCGATGGAATAGACATGTCCTCGCAACAAGGCTGCCGTAAAAGGGAAACAGTCGCCTAGCCCACATGCTCCCCCACAAAGTATGTGGCACGTGGGCACATATATCGAACTATCGTACGCCGACGCATTCAATATATCCAACGCTTCGCTGCGCTAGAGCCAAGATAAGCACTACAATTCGGCCGCACTTTAAAGAAATAAAGGACCCTCTTCCTGCACACGCCTCAAAGATGTGTTCACCTCCATGCACTGGAACATGCAATCGCCAAAAGCACAGCCTTCGAGATCTGTTTCTATAGGCACTCCATGCAATGGTCACTATTTCTGATCTCGAAGGCCATGTCTTTGTAAGCTGTACACGCCTGGGTTTTTTTCTTATTTTTTTAAACAATGTTGTGGCTGCCTGCTTCGAAAGCCAAAGTGCCATTACCATCACCGAGAGCATGTTTTGACCGGTTTTGACAGGAGCAGTCACCCATTTCCAGTTGCCCTTGTTGCTTTGATTGTGTGTAGCTTGCTTCCATAGTGTCATCTCGCCGCTCCCACGTTTTTGATTTGTACTTGCTTACGCGTAACCGTAAGCAAGCACAATTATGGTGTGTGCGGTATCTGTTGGCGCTGGTCGCCATGGAGGTGAAAAAACTGAAACTTGGCTACCATCATTCGGCATGTGAAGCAGGCGAAAAGAAGTCATCGGTCGCAGAAGCATTCAGCATTTCTCAGAGCATGTTGAGCACGATTATGAAGAACGAAGCTGATGTAAAGGCGAAGGCTGCCCAGTCGTGCCGTTATTAAGCTTGTCCCGTGCATACTCCTGTGTACGACAATGTTGAGAAGGTGCTGCACACCTGGTTTTTAGAAACTGAGGCTAAAACATCCCTATTGACAGACCGATGTTGATTGGAGAAAACGAAGCGGTTTGCTGCGGTCTTGGGGGTAACCGACTTCATTGGTGGCACCACCTGGCATTGCTTTTAAAAACCATTATGGCATCGTTGAAAAGGCCTTGTCTGGCGAAAGTGGCACGACAAACCGCCTAGAAACTGAGAAGTGGCTGTCCGAAGAATGGCCAAATGTGCGCAACAGCGTTTTGCCGATAGATATTTTCAGTGCTGATGAAGGAGCGCTGTTCTGGCAGATGTTGACGAACGAGACGTTGGACTTGAAGGGGCCTTCCTGTCATGGGGTAAGATGAGCAAAGTGCTTTTGGAACTTAGATGGTTATTTTAAGCTACGGTTATTTGTTATCGGCAAGAGCAAGTCGTTGTGCTGCTTCAAGACCACGAAGAGCCTCCCTGTGCGAGTTGCTTTAAATAAAAAAGCGTAGATGACACGGGACCTTTTTTTCGAATGGATCTGCGCTTGGGGTGCCGAATTGGAGAAGGCGGATCACAGCTTTTGTCTTCTTGTAAACGGTTGTTCTGCACACCACATCGTTAGCCACTCGAAAAGAATAACTATCAAGTCTTTGCCTCGCAACGCCATGGCAAGGTTACAGCCTTTTGACCAAGGCATTATTAAAGCATTTAAGGTAGGATACAGGCAACGTCTTGTGCAGCAGCTCCTGATCAACCTTCGTTTGGGGGTCGAACTGAATATCGACCTTCTCGGGGCGATTCAAATGATGACTGAGGCATGGAATGATGTAAAAAGAACTACGGCCATAAGCTGCTTTGGTAAAGCTGGCTTACTAGAGTCACCCGACAACCTTGGGAGTGACATGACAGCAGACAACGACCTAGAATGCTTTGACGATGACTTGTGCCAGCTCTAGGCATTTCCGGGTGCCATCTCTGAAAGGGCCACAGCAAGCTATTTCATTAAGGATGATATCAGCGTACAAGCCATTTCGGAATGCACTGATGCGTAAATTGTGGCCGATGTCACCGGTGTCAATAAGGCGGACCTAAGCAGCGATGATGCTGCCGACGCCTCGAAGCAATCGTGCATTGCTGCATAACTTTTGTCAGCATTCAGCCTCATTTGTCGCTGTTTTGGCGCAATCGAAGGCGCAGGATTAGGCAGTGTTGAGAGGCTGAAAACTTTTGAGGATAGCCTCATGAATTTTATGGCTAAAAATAGAAGGCAATCTAAGGTTGCGGACTTTTTTCATGCCATATAAAGTGCGGTTGTTCTCATGCTTTTTTTTTTTTTTAATATATATATTCTGCACAAATGGGCAAGCTTCTGTCTGGCACAAACTCGGAAAACTGCTCCAAGACTTGCAGTGTTACTAGGTAACTCCTAAACAGACGTATTCTAAACTTCAAATTATCGATATATTGAACTATTTTGTGATCTCCTTTGTGTTAGATATATCCGGGATCGACTGTGTATATGAATTTGGGGTAAGTCGGGTCACTTGATCAGCATTGTATGCTTAGTAAAAACCACTGAAATTTTTTGCACTTATAAGAAAGTAAAAATTCCAATCAACAGTGATGTGTGACTCTAGAAATCTGCTCCAAAACTGAATTTTGATGCTCCAAAGTACCCCTTTTGGTGCTCCAGAGCTGCTCCAAAAATCCCCTTTTACTACTCAAAAGCTGCTCCAAAACCGTATTGTACCTGCTACCAAAGCTGCTCTAAACGACTAAAGCCCGCTTCCATCCCCACAACTGCGGTCCTTGAAAAAGTTCTTTTGGTTGTACAGCATAACCTCATTTCAACAGACCTCCATAGTGAAGAGGATTTTGGTCTGTTGTAAGAGGACTATATAAAATCCAAGTACCGTTACAACAGACTTCTGGAAACACTGAATGGATCTGTTATAACTGGACAGAATTGCGAGTCATAAATGAATTTATTCTTGATTGGGCACAAAAACATGGATTTTTATTTTAATTGCATCTTGGGTGTCTCTAGACCTTTTCCTGATTTCAAAGTATGTTCATGTTAGACTATGTAGAAGTGCTGTAAAAAGCCTTTGTGCCTGCCGAGGTAGTGAATATCATCGGGGAAGTAAAAATAAAGAAAAGAAAAAAGTGTTTTTGTTTTATAGCTTCGCGACGCCTAACTGCCCATCACCATTTTCGGCTCGTCATAAAGGTATTTTGTAACGAGCATTCCGTGTTCAAAAAGCAGATGTTTGAAATTCATTTGGAGGCCTCCGATTGGCATCTTCTGCTGTGTTGCTTCAGTACACCTTGCTTGTCCAATGCTCATTCCAGATACGCCTCATCGTCTGCTTCTTGTGTGTTGCGAGGTCGCGGCTGTCTAAAATCGCACTACTTCGCGACATTTTCGCACTCATTCTGTGTTCGCTGGTTGTTAAGGCAGCTGCAAGAGAAGTTCAGTCTTCAGATCACGATCGTGCGCCATACTCGTTGGGAACATCGCACACGCACGTCTCAAACAGATTGTCATAGAGTTGACTCGTCGGCGAGAAGGTTCTGCTTATCAGCACTTCGGACATAGCGATGAAGACCACCGCAGAACAAATTTTTGTACTCGTGATCGAGCATGTCGAACTTTGAAACAACGGGCACTGCGGCCATGCACATTGCAGCCACGCTTTATGCTCGAAGTCGCGGCTAAGCCTTACTCCGCCCCGAACTTGGTGGGCAAGATAGTTGCGCTAGCAGATATGTGAAAGTGAAGAAGCCTTAATGTGCTTCATGGCAAGCAATAAATCGCGTCGTATGCTGGCTCCTTCACATCGGTAGCAGGCCCCCGCCATGTTCGCGACGTACCAACTGTTTGGAACAGCGGTGACAGCGGCCAGCAATCTTGCATATCAGTGCCTCAACATGCAAAATCAAGCACGCTGTGCGACGATTTTTTGGCGTCGTAGCTAGGCATAATTAATCATTAACAGATCGAAATATCCGGCCTTCGTTCTTGAATTGGTACGTCAATACCTGTGGCGCTATTTCAGTCCCGAAAGTATGCCAAGTGATATTTGAAGTCAGAAGTTATTGAATTTGGGATGTCCGCGGGAGAAAAGTTCACTATAAAAGAGTCTTGACAAAGTTTCTGCGGGCCTCGCATTTTAGTCAATTATATCCGAATGTCCATTGCACCAGAATCCGTAGTAAACGAAGCTCAATCAGTGGATCAAATGGGGAGGTCGGCATAACGCTGCAAGTTAGTATGTAGTATTCGAATGTCTTTTGTAAGTGGGTCCGTTGCAATGAGGTTATACTGTAGTGGATTACCGCTTATAGTGCGGATATTCGCAACTCCTCCAATTATGTTTAAGGGTTCTATGCTGTAGAATCTTAGTTCTTTTATACGACGGTTTTGCATGATCCCCTGAAAGTCGTGTAATTAAGGTACCACTGTATTTCTGACCTGGAGTCACACTCACCTGGTGTTGGTGACCTGGTGTGTTTGAGATACCTGAATTATAGCTTACACGTAGCTGTCTCCACGAGGGTACAACACCTCAGTAGGTTCAGGGTGCACTCATTCCACAGAAAAATTTATTCTGTTGATGTATTTGCAGGTCTAAGTCCCGACCTGCAGTCGATGGAGCAGGTGCGGCGGATAATGCGGCCGACGGACGTGCCTGATCAGGGCTTGCTGTGTGACCTGCTGTGGGCCGATCCCGACAAGGACATCATGGGTTGGGGGGAGAATGACCGTGGAGTCTCCTTCACTTTCGGTGCAGATGTGGTTGCAAAGTTTCTGCACAAGCACGACCTCGATCTTATCTGCAGGGCACACCAGGCGAGTACTCTTTATGTAACTCCGTTATTTTAATAATACAGTTAAACCTGTTTATGACAAACCTCCATTTAACAAATTTGTCAATAAAATGAAGTTTTCTTTTTTCCCATCGTTGCCCCATAGAAGTGCATGTATTTGCAACCTCTGTGTAACAAAGTAACAGCAGAAGACAACCTTAATATAACGCATTTTTCCCACGAACAATCTAGGAATTTTGCCTGAGGTTTTGTAATTTTGGAACAAGCATGCATCTTCCGCGACTGCCCCGCTGCCGGCAAAACTGGAAGCGGCAGTGGCACGCTCGTGGCCTCGGCGACAACCAGACAAGAGTGAGCGCTCGTTATTGTGCACAGGTGAGCCCGAGGTGGGCAAGCGGGCCTGCGCTCAACGAGCTGGGGTTTCCGCCGTTCTTGCCACCGCAGGCGCATGCTCGGATGTGCCCCCCTCCCCCCTCCAAACCAAAAACATGAAAACTACTTTTGCGTTCGTAGTGCCATGCTTTTAGTTGACATCACATATGTGGGGCCGCGCTGCACATAGAGGGTGCTATATCGAATAGTTATCCGCAATATCCGTGTCGTACGCTTTCGCCCCGATGACGTTCAGCTTTGCTTTTTACAGCTGTATATGGCTAGGAGAAACGTAAAACTGTCCTGCAGTGTAGAGTTACTTTATGTGCTGCCTACGGGAGCAGAGTTGTGCATAGGTCTGCCATTATGTTCAATGGCTGTGCAGTGAAGCCACTTGTCTTGCGCGCGTTAAGCAAGCACTGTTGCAGTGAGGCGTTGTATTGCTATAAGTAGTGAAAATGCTTGAGGCCCCTGTGCTTAGATTTAGGTGCATGTTAAAGAACCTCAGGTGGTAGAAATTTTTGGAGCCCTCCACTATGGCATCTTTTGTAATAATATGGTAGTTTTGGGATGTTAAACTCAACAATTTAGTAAATGAGTTGAAAATGGTTTGAAAGTGTAACTCATTCGTAATAACGTAGCAGCGCAGTTTTACCACCAGTCATACGATGCCGAATGTTTCTGTAATGAAAAGTTGATTTCCTGGTTCATTTTGATCTCGCTATTGGCGCCATCTAGGAGTCTGTCGGGGGTTCAAATGTTTGCAGCTTCGACGTTCTGGCCATTCTAGCTTTGGTAATCCGGCTGAAACAATGTAATTGCTATTGGGGCTTGCACTTCGGCTTCTTTGGACATGATGTCTGGAGTCTCTGCGATGTAGATATCGCGAGTTTCTACGAACATAGGTGGATTTGTGAATTAGCGCCGCGAATTTCGTCCCAGTTTTGGTCCTCTCAGTCAACGTACATGGACAGCATATTGGTGATCGTCTTGCTTAGTCTCTCTGTAAGGCCGTTGCTTTGTGTGGTATGCAGTAGCTCTGGATGAGCTGTTTCACTAAGCTGCATGGTGTCTTGTATCATTCGGGCGGTAAAAGCTGTTTCACGATCAGCTATGACAACTGCTTGTGCTTCATTAGGGAAGACGATAGTCTTCAGGAAAAAGTGGCGAATCTCAATGATGGTCCGACGTTGTAATGCCTTTGTTTAGCAGTAATGCGTGATGTCATCAGTAGTGACTACAATCCAGGGATTGCCGTCGTGAGACTCGGGAAAAGGTCCGAGCAGATCCCTGCCAATTTGTTGGAACAGCTGTGTTGGAGGGGCAATGGGCTCCAATAAGCCAGCTAGGTGCTTAGGTAGTGCCTTACGGCGCTGACATTCATGACATGTTTTTACATAATGCTTGACGTCCCGATTGAGCCTAGGCCAGTAGTAGTGTTGGTGAATTCAGGCCAAGGTACATGTGAATTCCAAGTGGCCGGACAGGCAGACAAGACCTCTGCTCATAACTCTGATGAGACGACAAGCAGGCGCTCAGTTGTGTGATATTGCTGCGAACACTGAACGATGATTGCAATCATACGAATGCTGGCGGTGGATGCGGACTGTGGCCTTTAAGATATTCGACAAACTGTCGAAGTTTGAGATTGGTTTTCTGCTGTTCAGCCATAGCAGATACAATGATGGCACAAAGAAAATGACCATCAAAATCGTGATTACCCGACGCTGGCATAAAAGGAGCTTGTGAAAGGCAGTCCGTGTCAGTGTGCCTTCGGCCAGACTTGTACACGACTGTCAGATGGAATTCTTAAAAGCGTAAGCTACACCTCGCCTGACGTCCTGGAGGATCTTTGAGATTCACCAACCAGCAAAGCTCATTATGATCGGTAATAGCTCTGAAGGTGCGACCATACAGGTTTGGTCTGAATTTAGCTATTGTCCAGACAACAGCTAGGCACTCCTTTGCAGTGGTTGTGTAATTTGCCTCCGCAGATGATAAAAACCAGTCAGCTTAAGCAAAAGCACGTTTGACGCCGTCTTGCCACTAGATGAGGACTGCACTAAGGTCAATGTTACTGGCATCTGTGTGTAATTCAGTGTCGGAGTGTTTGAGCAAGGGCTCAGTCTGGAGGCGCTGCTGAAGCTCTAAGAAAGCGCGTCTTTGCTTAGGTCCCTACATGAAAAGAACATCTTTTTTTGCGAGACAAATAAGGGGTTCGGCTATGTTTGAAAAACATCGCGCTAAATGTCTGTCTTATGCACAGAGGCCCAAAAACTGATGCACATCACAATTGGTGGCAGGTATTGGGAAATCAGCGACAGCCAATGTTTTGTCTGGGCCCGGCCGATTACCATCGTGACTAACAAGGTGGTTACCAAAATGGCTTTTCTCTGGTTTCAGCGATAGGCCTGCCATATGAATTGCAACAAAGATGGATCGAAGTCGCTGCAAGTGCTGCTCAAACGTTTGTGAAGACAATGCCTAAACAAACCAGGCATGCTTCCCACTTAAGAGCTGACAGCACTGTATCCATCATTTTCTGGAATTTTAAGGAGCAAAGCACAGACCGAATGATAGCACCTGAAATTCGTACAGACCATCAGAAGTTATGAATGCCTTTTTTCTCTCTTGGCCGCGTTCATCAACTTCTATGTGCCAGTAGCCACTGTGTAAATCCATGGAAGAGTATCAGGCGCATCGGAGGCAGTCTAGTGAGTTCTCGATGCCGGATGTGGGTAAACTTCTTTTATTGTCACTTTGTTGAGTTTGCAGTCATCTAGCATGTGGGGGTGCTGACACCCCCCCTGCAAAGTTGTCTGCGCCGCGTGGCGTACGTGTCTCGCCCCAAGGCTTTATTTTGGTGGTGACCACCGCCAGGCGATAGATGGCGTTGTGTTCGCGTTGAGTACCACTGTTGGTAGAGTGGTAGCGCCGGCGCTGGCCCCTGGCGGAAGGCGGGCCTTGGTGGCGGGCGAGCGTTGAGCGAGCCTCTTCTGCGCGTGGCGGCTGCCGCGAATGGTTGTCTGTCGCGTGGGCCCCCCGGTGCTCGGCTTCGCGCCGGGGTCCCACGTGGAAGGTCAGGATATCGTCGTCTAAATTAGTTAATAAATGTATGTATGTGGTGTGCTTCGTACCGATCGTGTCCACTGTGTCCGTTCACTCCGAGAGCGTGGCGTGGCGGTGCGCGCGTTCGCCTCGCCGAGACCCCACACTATGTTGTTTGTATGGTTTAGTGTTAGTTGAAATTGGTGTATCATTCGGCGGACGATATCGTCGTCTAAATTAGCTAATAAATAAATGTATGTTGTGTGCTTTGTACCGACCGTGCCCACTGTGTCCGTTCACTCCAAGAGCGTGGCGTGGCGGTGCGGGCGTTCGCCTCGCGGAGACCCCCACACTGGCTGCCCAACGTGGAGCTCTTGGAGTATCGGACGACAGTTTTTGCGGTTCGGTACAGGGATTTTGTTGGAGCCGGAGTAGAGTAGGCCTAGGGGGGACTTCTTTGCTAGCGTCGGTGGTGTGCTTTGTTGAGAAGCGAGGAGATTGGTTTTGTAACGTGTTTCAATTTGTCGGCAAGTTGACTTTCTATTTATTTTTTTTTGCTCGCAAGTGTTGTTATTTTTTGTTGTTAGTTTTCAAAAACGTTGTTGAATTAGGACGAGAGCCATGCGGTCCGCATCCTGGGGTGAGCAAGGCCTAGAGCACGTGGTTTGTAGGCCAGGCCCGAAGCGAGTGAGTACGGAAGCCTCGTGGGTGGTCCGATTTTCTGTGAATAGCTTCTTCTATCTCTTTGGGCTCAGGGAGCCGGGCGTCGTTGCTGACTTGTATTGCGGCTCGACGCCGAGGCGTCGTGACACCGCCCGGGGCGGTGGACGCCGATCGCTCGGTAAGCTGCTGTGTGCGGCGAGCGATAGGGCCACCTCACAGAGTGGACGTCTCCTCGCGGCTGCCTCTTCTGCGCCTAGGCTGGGTGCTGGGTGGATGCCGGTTGTTGCCGTGCGACTCATTAGGCCTAAGGCTCTACGCAGCCGCCTGTCGCACGTGGCACAACTAGGTGGATCGTAGCGTTGCGCTCTGCTTCCCTCACTTTTTTTTTTCTTGTGAGCACGAGTTAGGAAAAGTGATTTTTGTTTTTATTTTGATGGGCGTCTCGGCCGCCACCGATGTATTAGCTAGCAGTACTGACCACCGTACCACGTGGCCGAAAAGCCTGAAGCTCCCTCCCCTGGGCCGCGCTCCTTTGTTTCTTTCGAGTTTTGTTTTTTGTTGATGTATTCAGCGGGAGGGATGTCATCCACGGCCGGCTGTCCTGCACATCGTCAGCGTCGTTGGCCAGGAATGCGGTCGTGAGGTCGGGCGATGGAGATGCCTGGGACCTGCGCAACTGCCTGCAGTCCGGCGCCCTCGCGAGTGCTGGTCGCAACTGGAAGACGTGTCGGCGCTAGCGACGGATCGTCGCGCCGACGGCAACGTTGCTGTTGCGGGACCGGTACTGAGGGGAAGTCGAGCCGGACAGTGCAGCAGCGTCGACTGGCGGTGGTGTCGTGGGGCAAGGACATTAGGGTCGTGCGATATCATTTTTTTTTTTGCTAAAGATTGTGTAGCTAATTTTTGATTTCGGGATATGGTTTGATTTAAGGTTGGGGG